TCTTTTGAGTTGCAGAAGCTTTTTGGTTTAAGATAGTTCCATTTGTCTATCTCTGTTTTCACTTGTTTGGTCAGTGGCGTGACATCTTTGAAGATAGCATTAGCTACAATGTCTTGGAGGGTTTTTCCAACCTTGTCTTCAAGGTACCTTATGGATTCCAGTCTGATGTTGAGGTCTTTAATCCATTTTGATCTTACTTTTGTACATGGTATTAGGTAGAGATCTGAGCCCATTTTTTTAAGCCATAACATTTAACAATTTTAATTTGTTAAATTTAATTTACTTAATTTTAATTATTTTATTATTTATTTTGGGCTGGAGCGATAGCACAGTGGCAGGGCATTTGCCTTACAAGTGGCCAAGAGGGCCGACCTGAGTTCAATTCCTCCGCCCCTCTTGGAGAGCCCAGCAAGCTACCTAGAGTATCTCGCCCGCACGGCAGAGCCTGGCAGGCTACCTGTGACGTATTCGATATGCCAAACACAGTAACAACAAGTCTCATGGTGGAGATGTTACTGGGCCCGCTCAAGCAAATCGATAAACAACTGGAGGACCGTGTATAATTTATTTTATTACATTATTATTCACGGTCCTCCCATTGTTCATTGATTTGCTCGAGTGGGCCCAGCAACATTATCAGACTTATTACTGTGTTTGGCATATAGAATACATCACAGGTAGCTTGCCAGTCTTTGCTGCGTGGGCGAGATACTCTTGGTAGCTTGCCGGGCTCTCCGAGAGGGGTGGAGGAATCGAACTCTGGTTGGTCATGTTGGCTGCGTGCAAAGCAAATACCCTACTGCTGTGCTATTGCTCCAGCCCAAATTATTATTAAATTTATTAAATTTAATAATAATTCAACAAGGTTAATTCTCCCGATCCATGAAGAGGGAATATCTTTCCATTTCCCCGTGTCCTCTTTTATTTCCTAATGTAGCCTTTTGTAGTTTTCTTTGTACAGGTCTTTTACGTTCTTAGTTAAGCTGATTCCTAGTTACTTAATTTTTGGGGGCACAATTGTGAACAGGATTGTTTTATTCATGTCACTTTCTTCTCTAATTATTTGTGTATAGAAAGCCATGGGCTTTGGGGTATTGACTTTATACCCTGCAACTCTACTATACAAGTCTATTATTTCTAGGTCTTTCTTGGTAGAGGTTTTAGGGTTCTCTAAATATAGTATCATATCATCTGCGGAGAGTGAGAGCTTGATTTATTTCTTTCCTACCTGAATGCCCTTAATATCCTTTTCTTGCCTAACTGCTATTGCAAGTACTTCCAGGACTATATTGAACAGCAGTGGAGAGAGTGGGCACCCTTGACTTGTCCCTGATCTTAGAGGGAAGTGCTCTCAGTTTTTCCCCACTGAGGATTATGCTTGCCATAGATGGCTTTAACTATATTGAGGAAAATTCCTTCTATACCCATTTTGGCGAGGGTTTTTCATCATAAACAGGTTCTGGATCTTGTCTAATGCTTTCCCTGCATCAATTGATATGATCATATGGATTTTATCTTTTCTTTTGTTGATATGATGGATTATGTTGATTGATTTCCAAATGTTAAACCATCCTTGCATCCCCAGGATGAATCCCACTTGGTCATACTTTTGAAGAGTTGTTGAATTCTATTTCCCAGTATTTTGTTGAGAATCTTCGCATCTGTGTTCATCTGGGATATCTGCTTCTAGTTTTCTTTTCTTGTGTTGTCTTTGTTTTCTTTGGACTTCATAGAAACTCTTTGGGAGGGTTTCTGTTTCTTCAAATTCCTGGAAAAGTTTGAGAAGAACTGGCAATAGGTTCTCTTTAAATGTTTGGAAAAATTCACTAATGAATCAATCTGAATTTGGGCTTTTATTTTGGGAAGCCTTTGATTGCAGTTTCAATTTCCTTGATGTTAACAGGACTATTGAGGTATTCTAGATCTTCTTGAGTCAGCCTTGGGAGATTATAAGAATCCAGGAATTTATCCATTTCTTCTAGGTTCTCTTGTTTCATGATATAAAGACTTTCAAAGTAGTATCTGATGATCTCTTCAATTTCTTTGATTTCTGTTGTGATATCCCCCTTCTCATTTCTTATTCGGTTTATTAGGGTTCTCTCTTTCTTTGTTAGTTTTGCTGGTGGTTTATCTATCTTGTTTATTTTCTCGAAGAACCAGCTCTTGATTTCATTGATCTTTCAGATTGTTTTTTGGCTTTCCATTTCGTTGATTTCTGCTCTAAGTTTTATGATCTCTTTCCTTCTGCCTGATTTGGGATCCTTTTGTTGGTCCTTTTCTAAGATCTTGAGCTGTGAAGTCAAGTTGTTTATGCAGGCCCTTTCTTCCTTCCTGAGAAATGCTTGCAGAGCTATAAATTTTCTCCTTAACACAGTTTTAGATATGTAGCTTTTTCATCTAATATCTATACATTTTGTCTAACAAGCACTTTCAATCCAATTTAACGTTAACTGAGGTAATTACTACTCCCTAATAAATTCTCTTCTCCTAAAATTGATACTTTTTTGACAACTTGAGTTATCTTAATAATTTCATCAAAATCCCTTTGATATTAGTCAAAAACCTATTATTCCTCCTAAATAAAATTCATATGCATTTAATACTTTTGTTTTTCATTACACTTTCTATCCCTGGAAGTATTGGCATGTCTAATTTAATCTGTGGGCAATTATCCTTTATTATACACTATTTCCAGTTCTTATTTCCACGTTACCATGTCATACTATGTCATTCTTATACTAAGGTATATTATTCATTTTTTTCCTTAAAATTATTCGTTGATTTTATTTACCATTAGAATAATATTCTAAGATGCTATCATCCATGAATGTTAATAAGGTTATTAATTCATGGTGTTTCTGTTTTTAATTCGCTTGATATTCATAGAGAAAACAGTACATAATTACAGGATATTCATCCAACAAATACTTTTTGCATCTTTCTTGGCACTTAATTTGCTTGTCTAAATTTATGCTAGTTTATGTATACTTGGAAACATATCAAATATATTTTAACATTTGCCTGGTGTAATTCTTGTAGCAAACATGTAAAATTAATGGACATTAAATAAAAATTATTTCATATCCATATCCATATTAATTTGAAATTAGATGTCAATACCAACCACACAAATAGTTGTTTTAAAAGACATATATTTTTCCTTTTTTATAAATAAAAAAGCATTTTTTATTTGTAGCATTGTAGTAGCACTGTCCTCCCATTGTTCATTGATTTGCTCGAGCAGGCCCAGTAATGTCTCCATTGTGAGATTTCTTGTTACTGTGTTTGGCATATCGAATATGTCATGGGTATTTTGCCAGACTTTGCTGTGTGGGCGAGATACTCTCGTAGCTTGCTGGGCTTTCCAGAGGGGTGGAGGAATTGAACCTGGCTCTGCCAAGCCGGCTGTGTGCAAGGCAAATGCCCTATGACTATGCTATCACTCCAGGCCTTATAAATAAATAACAGAAGTCTTTAATATAATGCTAAGTGATCCAATACTTCTTATACATCTAGTGAGATGAATTAGTTATGACATAGTTTTTAATGAAACTATAATAATTAAGAAGATATTTTACTGAAAGAGAATTTCATCCTAATATATTAAATTCTTATAATTTCCATCAAGTAGGCAATAAAGGATAACATGCTAATTTTAAAGTTTATAAAATATTAAAATAAATTAAATAAAAACAGTATACAACATACATAAGAATACTTAAATGATTTAGCTATACATTAAAAATATTCAGAATAATCTACATTGAGATTAAATTTTCTTCTGGAAATCATTTATTACTTTAGAAATATTTTGACAGACTCTTAAATTTAAATTTAAAATTTAAAATTAAATTTAAAAATTATGAAAAAACATATTTTCAGCCTTAGCAATAGTACACATAGTAGGGTGCTTGTCTTGCATGTGGTATACCTGGTTTTGATCCCAGGTTCCTCATACAGTCCCCTGAGCCTTGTCAGCAATAATCCTTGAGTAGAGAGCCATGAACAGCAGCACTGGCAGTGGCCTCAAAACTAAAAAAAAAAAAAAAAGAAAAAAAGAAGAAAAGAAAATTATATTCTTATTTTGATTCTATAAAATACTCATTATCTTGTGTCTAAGTATTGCATGTAAAGAATACAATCATTTATATTATTTGGACAAAAACATTAACTGGTAATACAGTTTCTGCAAAGGTGAAAACAACCTTCTCAAAAACTTCATACTAAGTCTTACAGTAAAAACTTTTTTCAAGTCAATTGCTTTGCCTTACCACGTGAACTCTTATTTTTAAGGGGAAAGCTCATTTTAAATCTTTGTTTAGTCAAATAAGGACAAACACTGGATGATTTCACTCATCTATGATATATAATGTTGAGAAACAGAACTTTGGTCAGGGACAAGAAATAACTGAGCAAGGTACCAAAAAAAGAGATTTTCTAGGACATAAGGACATTGGTGGAGTGTATTGAGCACTTTTGTGGTGGTAAGGTGCTAAAATGTTGCATCAAGAGCATAAAATGGTGACATATTACCAAACTACAGCAATATAAAAAAACAAACAAAATCTTTACTCTTCTTAGTCACAGATCCTAACAAAGTAAATTAAACTAAAAGCATTATTGAATGTGAAAACAATTTTCTTCATGTAATTGTTTATGATTTTTTGCCTGGTATAAAAATTATAAATTTATCATGGGAATTAAAATGTATATATTTTTCTTTAACAAATAAACGCTGTTATGAGCTGGAGCTAGATGCAGTTAAAGCAAAATTGATTGCAACTATACTTATTTTGAATTCATATTTTGTTTTAGCTTCATACATTAATTCAATCATTATAACAATCCTATGGCTTGAATTCTTAATATTACCAAGAACTTCAGTAATAAATGACCTATATCCAGAGGAGAAATTCAGCTTTATAACCACTTTGATAACCGTTATGAATAAAATTTAAATGCTCAATTTGAGAAACTCAAATTCGTCTGCGCTGCGCCAGCTTCTGTATATTTCCGTGCACTGCAATCCGGCCTCCCTGATACTGCAAATTCTGGCACGTGGGACTGCCGCGATGGGAATAACTACTATGGTAGCGAAGATTACCCTAAATCCAGCTCTCCCCTGGCCCCTTCCTTCATCAACCCTACATCTTGGACCAGGAGCCCACGAGCTGAGCTGTGGCCGTTAAGCAGTTCTAACAGACATCACCTTGCTGCAGCCCACGAAATGCTGTCTCTCTTGCTGATCGTCTCAAGCCTGGGTGGGCTGGTCTCTGGGAACCAGAGTAAGCGAAAGATCCTACACTACAGGGGGATAGGGGTCCCATTGCCCCTATGCGTAACAACTTTCTTGGGCTAGACACCCAGGCCAGCTGCCACCCGCTCAGGAGTGTCCAGTCCCGCCAAACGCCAGCATCCTGTTGAGGGGCATGGTGGGTGGAGAACCAGATTCAGCCTGGGATAAGCAGCCCTCCACCTGTCCTGCAATGACTGGAGAGGAGCCCTGTGTTTGGGGGGAAATGCACTGATGGGTTCCAGAGGCTTCTTGCCTCTTTGCTAATTCAGGGCTGAGGCCGGAGAGTGTGTCAGGGCGATCCGGCTAAGTCTGATTTTTTTCATTATCCTCTCCCCTTGTGTGTGTGTGTGTGTGTGTGTGTGTGTGTGTGTGTGTGTTCAGAGTGATATGCGATATGACATATGATATGTGATACATCTTTAGTGAAGACTAAAGATGCTTTTATATACTAGGAAATGCTCACTCACATTTTGCTCACTGCAGATTCTGAAACATCATTTCTACAAATTATAGTACCGAAGAAGATTGAAACAGATATCCGTAACCACGATATGTCAGAAACTCAAGTAATTAAGAAATCAGTTAAAAATATCGTATTTCTTATTCTAAGTATATTGTTTGAAATAAGTCATGCACATTCTTTTGCTACATTTGTGTTATGTTCTGATTTACTGTTTGTTTGAAGGAAAGCATTGAATTTTTCTCTAGTAAAGTGTAAACATGAAATTTATATTAAAACTAAAAATTTAAAAGAAAATCTTAAGTTTCCATCACAAAAGATGATAGTCTCCCAGAATTTTTATAGAAAATGTATATATTTAAATACATCTTATAAATGCCACCATGCTAATATTTGCCTTCTACATATTAATTGGCAATATACAAAAATTTTGTCTTTTTTGATACATGTATATACTAAACTGCAAAAATTAATGTTATTTTACTCTTAGTAAAACGTATATAGTTGTCATGTATCTGTACTACTCATGTTATTTGTTAATTTATTTCTATGATTATTGTTACCAATAGTTAACCATGCCTCAAAATATTAGTTGTTTCTGGGGAGCATAAGAGTGTCCATTTACATAACTTTTGTCATATATATACTATCCGTGTTCTATTTTATCACTAACACTAACACTGTCCTCCCATTGTTCTTCAATTTGCTCGAGCAGGCCCAGTAATGTCTCCATTGTGAGACTTATTGTTATTTTATTACTATTAACTTGTTATTTTATCACTATTCTATCAATAAATTTTGCCAAATTTATAAATTAAGTCATCATATGTAGTAGTATAGGACAGAATAGTATATACATATACTATCTGCAAGTACATTTATCTTTTGGAGGTCCTGGGATGTAACTTTTATAAATAAGGGAGCCTACTTAATTTTGTAAAACTAATTCTAAATAGCATAAAGTTGTTTCACACCTTAGTTTCAATGTAGGAAATTTGAACTAAATGGATATTTAGAGACTTATACATTTTAATGAGCTTGCATAAATGTACTTTGCTTTGATTTATAATGCTACAATTTACTCCTTTACTAAAGTACCTTATTCTTCATAGTTGCATATCTCATATTACTCTAACATCAAAGTTTATTAAATTTTAGACTGATTAATTTAAAATGCATCCTGGGTGCTCATCTCAATAGTTTTGTTAATCTGACAAAACAACACACTATTGATAAGGTAAAGGATTTTATTTAAGATTATGGAAGTGTAACTTTGGATCCCAGTTTTATATAAACCCAACTAGTGTGCCCAAAGAATGACAAGTTCAGTTTTATTTTGCTTTATTTTGCTTTTTTCAGTTTTATTTTACATAGAGAAGGAGAAGAATGAGAAAATGGTCAGATGAAGGGGTGAAAATAATATGTTGAGGTAGAGGAATCAATGTGATTAATGAGAAATTTACTTATCAATGCTTCCTTCAAGCAGAATATTTTCATTTCTCTGGCTTCTTGGAATGTTGGAAGTCAGTTCCCTTCTTTGTAAAGCAATTCTGATAAGGTTTCCAGGTCTCTATTTTAAAATCTCACTATTTTCTTTTTGCATCTTAAACCCATCTTTTCAAAGTAATTTTCAAAGAATTATTGATTATCCAAGGAAAAGTACTGTCCTGTGATCACTGGATTGACCTTTCTTACATGCATAGTTTCTCAGGATGAAGTATTGCCTTGTGCAATATTAGTGAAACAGGAGAGGATCAGGTTGAGTAAAGGAATTTGAAGGAGAAAATTTATGAATGGCATCACTTGTATGGGGATATTGACAAGAAAATCAAGGGATCTCTGAAGAAGTGAAGTTACCAAAGTCAGCAAAGAAGGGAACTGAGCAAGGAATAAGTCCAGTGAACTGTTAGAGATGTATAGGTGCTTTGTTGGTAGCTGTAGTGTGGTAACATATTTCAAAGAAGTATGAAATTATTCCTAAAATATATGCCATCTTACAACCATTACCTCATTATAAAAATCAACGTAATATGGTTATAGTTTTTAACTTGAGAATGTGTTAATGGAGCGGATACACATATGTAAAACTCAAAAATTATCCTAAAAATGATTAGATTTTATTTAACCTACACATCAAAAATAATTGGAACACAAGTATCATTATTTATATTTTAAAATAAAATTATTATATACTTTCCATTTATTTAGGTTTCTCTTCTGCTGTTTTGTAGTTGACATAGAGATGTCCTACAGAACATATTATGTTTTTTAATTTTATGGTAAAATATTTTTAAAGTTTTTTATTCAGTCACTTAAATAATTTTATAAAAAATTGCTTTTATATATCAACTTTTATAAATACATGTATGTATATTTAGCAAATAATTATATATAAAACTCAATACAAATGATAATTCACAATAATAATTGGATACCTAAACTATCTAATCCCTGCTTTATTTTAAGAAAAGCCATATTATTTAACAAAATCAAATACATGATTAACATAGAAAGAGAAGTTATAACGTACCATCAGTTCTCATAGCTTTATTTAGCATGTGTAGAACACAAGAAGGCAGTAGTTAAGTTTTATTAAATATATTACTGTGTGTTTGATATTTATTGAGAAATATTGATAGTGTCAATGTTTTTCCATGAGTTTTTTGACTCAGGAAGAATCACAATATCTGAAAATAGACTACAATTTAAAATTATGAAAATGTGTGAGTTTGAAACTTAAACAATTGCCATAAAACTTTTTTAATAAGATGTTCTCAGAGTATTGGATAATATTCAATGAGAGATAAATGTTTTCCAGACAATATGTTCAACATAATCTTTCACTTAATTTAATTTCATTGTGAAATTAATGCATATTTATTTTTAATTAATTTATTATTTTAATTAAATATTTTGTTTTTTAATGAATCATGAGGTACAGTTACAGACTTACAAACTTTCATGCTTACATTCAGTCATACAATGATTGAGTACCCACCAGTGCCTGTTCTTCACCACCCAACGACCCCAGTATCCTTCCCATCTCCCCCATCGCCCTCCCTACCCCTCCTCTCCTGGCTCTGTGGCAGGCCCATTTCCTTTTACTCTCTCTCCTATAGAGTGTTGTGGTCTGAAATGCAGGTATTGAATGATCATCATGTTTGGTCTGTAGTCTATTTTCAGCATGCATCTCCCAACCTGAGCAGGCTCTTTGGTGGTCCCTTTTCTATCTGAGGTGCCTTTTCTTACAGCATGTGAGGCTGGCTTCCAAGCTGTGGAGCAAACCTCCTGATACTTATCTCTTCAATTATTGGTTGTGAGTGTCCCAGCTGTATAATATTCCATTGTGTAGATGTACTTCTTTATTTATTTATTTAAAAACCCGATTTTATTATTAATTAATTAATTTATTTATTTATGCTTTTTGGGTCACACCTGACGATGCACAGGGATTATTCCTGCCTCTGCACTCAGGAATCACTCCTGGCAGTGCTTGGGGAACCCTATGGGATTCTGGGGATCAAACCCGGGTCGGCCGCATGCAAGGCAAATACCCTCCCCACTGGCTATTCCTCCAGCCCCTGTACTTGTTACTTTATATTCCACAAATGAGCGCAATCTTTCTGTTTGCTCCTTTCTTTCTGACTCATTTCACTTAACATGATACTTTCCATGTTGATCCACTTATATGCAAATATCATGGTTTCATGTTTTCTAACAGTTGCATAGTATTCCATTGTGTAGATATACCAACGTTTCTTTAACCAGTCATCTGTTCTTGGGCACTTGGGTTTTTTCCAGATTTTGGCTATGGTAAACAGTACTGCAATTTCTAATATACATTTTGCATCTATGGAACATATTCCAAGAAGTGGTATTACTGGGTCAAATGGGACCTCAATTTCTAATTTTATGAAAAGTGTCCATACTGTTTTCCAAAATGGCTGAACCAGTTGGCATTCTTACCAACAGTGAAGAAGAGTCCCTTTCTCCCCACATCCATCCCAATACCAGTTGCTTTTGTTCTTTTGGATGTGGGCCAGTCTCTGTGGTGTGAGATGATATCTCATTGTTGTTTTGATCTGCATCTCCCTAAATATTAGCGATAAAGCGTATTTTTTCATGTTCCTTTTGGTCATTTGGATTTCTTCTTTGAGAAATTTTCTGTTTATTTCATCACCCCATTTTCTGGATGAAGTTGGATATTTTCTTCTTATTGAGTTCAATCAGTGCCTTGTATATCCTTCATAACAACCCCCTAACAGATGGGTTTTGGGTGAATATCCTTTCCCATTCTGTAGATTGTCTTTGTATTCTGGTCACTGTTTCCTTTGAGGTACAGAAGCTTCTCAGTTTAAGATAGTCCTATTTATTCATCTCTGTCTCCACTGGCTTGGTCAGTGCCAGATACCTTTAGCTTCAATGTTATGGAGGGTTTTTTTCTACCTTGTCTTCAATGTGCCTGATAGATCCTGGCCTGATGTTGAAGTCTTTAGTCAATTTTCATCTGACTTTTGTGCATGGTGTTAGGCAGAGATTTGAGCCCATTTTTTGACATGTAGCGGTCCAGTTTTGCCAGCACAATTTGTTAAGTAGGCTTTCCTAGCTCCATTTGACATTTCTTGCTCCCTTATCAAAGATTAGATGATCATATATTTGAAGGCATGTGTAAGGATATTCCACCCTGTTCCATTCATCTGGGACTCCACCTTTTCAAGTACTATGCTGTTTTAATTATTACCATATTGTAGTAGAGTTTGAGGTTTGGAAATGTGATGCCTCCCATCATCTTTTTCCTAATAATTGCTTTAGATTTTCATGGGGGGTTGTTGTTCCATACAAATTTCAGCAGTGTTTGATCCACTTCATTTGATCCAATTCATTACCCATGAACTTCATGGGTAAACTTATAGGGATCACATTGAATCTGTATAACGCTTTGGGGAGTATTGCCATTTTGACAATGTTAACTCTCCCAATCCATGAGTAGGGGATATGTTTCAATTTCCGTGTATTACTCTTTTATTTTGTGAAGTAATGTTTGTACTTTTCTTTGTACAGGTCTTTTACCTCCTTAGTTAAGCTGATTCTGAGGTACTTCATTTT